ACCCAGGGGACCATCAAGGTAGGCCTTCCACGTGCTAGCAACTTCCATCCAGTCCTACTCTGGACCTGGGTCCTACATGTTCCAGACCTGGACATAACAGCACATGTTAACAGATCCATCTTCAGGAGCAGACTCCCAGTAGTCAACCTCACCAAGACAGACAGAAAACACCAGAATGGACATTTGGTTAATTAAAACAAAAAAGCAGAATTGCCAAGACTGGCATCCTTTGGCAAGCACGTTCCTGATGGGAAAACCCTAAATAAAGCTCAATTTGAAATCTTTAAAGTGTTATGGAGCATGGAATTAGAATGAAAGGTCTTTGCTACAGGAGTCATGTCTTCCCAGACTCCAGGCTAATGTGGTCTTCCTTAAAATAGGGATACATGTGGTCCCAAAAACACATAGGGTAAAATTTTTAGGTCAGGGCATACCAACCCTGACGGCATTTAGGAGGGCACTGCCAACACCTGCATCCAACTTTCTCTCCTGTTGGTCTTCCACGACCAACCACGAAGTCCCATTCGAAACAACACATTCTTACTTTAGATATATCAGTATCTTCAGTGAGGTCTCAAAGTGTTAATAATCTCACAGATGGTCATCTCAAATCTCAAATACTTGTTGAGATTCTATTAAGTACCAGGAACTGATTGGGTAGGGGAGAGACAGTAGTTAACAACACAGACAAAAAGCCCTGGACCCATGGGGTTTACATTCCCTCTATTTTAACTTCTACTACTCTGCCTCTTTAAGATGACTTTGTACTATGGGCTGATTTCACATGTTAATTCTCATTTGCGACTGCTGCCATTATGTACTGTCTATAAACACGCACACAAAAAAACCCCCAACAACAACAGAAAACAAAAAGCAAAACCAGGCAATATCCTCTATTAGGGTTTTGGAAAAGGACAAAAAAGATCGAATACCAACAGGTGATTACACTGTTGGAGTCCACAAACAAAAAGTGAATTTTAGATCATCTCTTGAGACACCAGAGTGGTATATTTCTGCCAGTAATTGAGAATATTGTCTTCTCCTAGGAGTAAACCCAATCGAGAGGATTTCAAATGAAAATGTTAGAGAACTGGAAAGGAACATGGGATGAGGAGCTAGGATGTGTGTTCCACAGTCTGCCTCTCCCAATACACAGCCCTGGACTAGGCAAGTCGCCCACATGCCCAGGGCTCCTCCCCTCACTTTTAAGATGACAGTGTCTGGAACCATGAGAGACTATGGACTCTGAGAAGCAAACTGAGGGTTCTAGAGGGGAAGGGGTGGGGGGATGGGTTAGCCCGGTGATGGGTATTAAAGATGGCACATTCTGCATGGAGCACTGGGTGTTATACGCAAACAATGAATCATGGAACACTACATCAAAAACTAATGATGTAATGTATGGTGATTAACATAACACAATCAAATTAAAAAAAAAAAAAGATGACAGGGTCTGCCTAAATCCCTAAGACACCGACAGCTGGGAAATGCCACGATCTCCCTTGATAATAGGAACCAATCCTTACTCATCTCAATCTCCCTTAAAGGGCCTTGGGCCACACCCCCCACATAAAGCCACTGCATAAATACTGCTTAATTCAACACAGAACCTATTATAACACCAGAGTGGCAGCTGAAGTCACTGATATTCCAGATAAGATGTTTAAAAATCTGTGCTGTTCTTTAGCTACCGAACCCTTTATTCACCTAGCCTTGCTCACTAGGTTCGTCTCAAGAGCCATTTGCACAGCCAAGAACTTCTTCAGTGCCTGAACCGAGAGATCCTTTGCAACCTTACCAGCGTGACCCTGCAGCACCCAAGAGTTCCGCATCTCTTCCTTTCCCTGCAACTTCCAGGCCTCCCCGCTCTCCTGGCCGCTCCTCTTGCTCCGGCTTCTCTTTCCTGGTCCTCCTCCTCACCACCAGCCCAGTAAACAGCGTTCTGCAGGACAGCACCGGCCCCCTGGTTAAGGTCACTGGCAGAGTCATCGTAAATGAGGTGGCTCACAAACCACCTGTGCTTCAGCCCAAATGGAGAGCAGCCCGCAGGGCTCTTTGGACACCCCCAAGGACCTCACAGTGAGAAGTCTAAAGCCAACCCTTCATCCCTCTTCCTCATGTTAAAACCTGTCCTCTGCGTTACTCAATTTGATGAATCGCCTTCTTTTCATCAACTGTCCACTTGCTCCACCATCAGATTTAATCGAGGACCAATCCTTGCTGACTCCGCCCTCTGGAACCCTGCCTTTCTTAAACCCCTGCCTTTTCCCCGCCGCGTTGGTGAGGTCCTAACCCCTCAGTGGTCTCTCAGCCTCAAGTCTCTTTATTTACACCTCTCTTCCAGCTATCGATACTTGCTTCTTTGTACCGTTAACCTGCAGGCATTTGTGAGTTCTCCGTACTAGACCGTCACTTCTTTGGATACAGAAACCTTGTCCTTATTTGTCCTATTATCACCTGTCGTAACAGTGTGCTGTGTACATAATAAGTGCTCAATAAACACACTTCGGCAATAAAACATGGATTATCTTAAAGTGACTGCACTTATCCTCTCAAAGAGCAGCTTGTTAGATAATTAAATATTTACTCTTCCTCCCAGCCCATTAACAATGTTATATAAATACACAGACCATACACATAGACACATGCACACACAGGATGCTCTTAACTCCCTTTAAGTCAATCATCTTGCAAACACCAAGAGATGATCTATCTCCCAAATAACTGAGACATAAATTGGTTCATATTTTTCATTCCTGGTCTTCCTTGAGAAAATGACACAATGCTCAGTAGCAAATGAGAAATTATTTTGCAAATCTATATTCCCCAAATACCCCCAAACATGGGTCATGCATCTTTCTTGTATTTTGATCCCACTGCTGTGACTTAGTGTGGTAATTATATTACAAAGCTACTATTCGATGAAATGAAAATGGCAAAACAATTTAAATGCCTGTCTAAAAAAACTCTGTTAGAATGCAATTATAAGTGAAATTACAATGGCAAAATAATTGAAATGCAAGTCCGGAAGGCACAGTTATGAAACCATTAAAATGCTTCTGCTGAGGGCTCACAACGTTGAGTGAAACCATACACTCCTGGGGACACATTTTTAATTCACTGAAACAGTCAACATTTATGGAAAGATGAAAATATCTGGGCTTCGACTGTTCCACAGCATTCTCTACACTTCTGGGTGCCACCTAGGGGTGTGTTAACATCATCAGGGTTTGTAGGTTTCTGGGATGGACTGACTAATAAGAGAACCATGGGCAATACTGTGCTTCCATTCAGCACCAAGAAGATAGAGGCACAAGGGCAAGCTTAGTTTAGATTTTCCTGAAATGTTTCCAATATAAAAGCTAGGATCACAACGTGAAAAGATGTTTGTCCTAAAATCAACCTTGCAATTATTAAATATGTGTGTGGATGTATTTCTAAGGATCTAGCTTCTTAAAATGTTCTGCTGATGTGTTCCTTTTGCAAAATCTTGATCAATATTTTGATGCCAAGGCTTACAATAGTTATATCTGCTCACCAAAAGAAAAAACCAAGGACAAAATACAGTGCTAGATACACAAGCGATACACTGAAATGATCAATCTGACAAATGACTAAGGACCCTCCTCTGAATCATGTTCTGCATTTTGATGGCTGAACACATAGATGAGTCTACCAGCAAAAACATGCAAAATATGCCCCATTCCCACCCCCTCTCCCTCACACTCTGCTTCCATGGATCTATCTCACTCAGTTAATTGGCTAAAGAAAGAGATGCTAGGAGGAAGTCATATAAAGAAACAACTATTAAAAGAATAAGATCCTTTTCTCATTCATGATTATCTCTCTCACGACATCACAGAGCAGCTTAGAAAATGGCATTTTGGGGTGCCTGGGTGGCTCACTTGGTTAAGAGTCCAACTCTTGATTTCAGCTCAGGTCATGATCAGGGTGGCGAGATCAAGCGAGGGAAATAAGTGGGAATGTTAACTAAGGCTTTGTAACAAAGTGAACCTTGAGGGCATGGTAACTTAATTTTGTTTAATTTAATTAATTAATTAATTTACTTATTTATTTTAGAGAGAGCGTGCGCGAGCATGTGCAGGGGGAGGGGTGGAGTGAGGGTGAGGGAGAGAGAGAGAATCCCGAGCAGACTCCACGCCCAGCACTGGGCCCGACGTGAGATCGTGACCTGAGCCAAAATCAGGTGTCAGATGCTAACCGACTGAGCCACCCAGGTGCCCCATGGTAACTTTAAAACAAAAATCAAATCTGCTATCTAGATTAGATATTTTATAGAGAGGTCATATTATTTTTACACATATAATTTAGATATTAATAGGATTTGAAAGAGACTTTAAAATCATATGAGGAGGTTTTTCCAGTTTAGGCACAAAGGCATGAACTTTGAAAAAGAAAAAGTCATCTAGAGAAAATCTATGAATAAGACTAACTAAAAAAAATAAACAAGCAAACATACACATAGATTATAGAAAAAAAATTAGCAGAGTCCCCAAAGTATTTAAATCATAGTATTACACATAAAATTTGAAATTTGAAATCACATTTGCCAGAGTTTTATAGAATTAACCTCTATATTTAGGAAAGTACTCAAATAGGTTTTCATATAATAGTTTTATTAACTTCCAAAGGCATATCTTTGGATGTTAATAAAGGAGAAACCGATAAAACATTTATAGTATGGTAAGTTAAAATCTATTGCCCTAACTTTGAAATGCATAATGTTATAAGTTGGATTGATGGATGGATAGATGATAAAGAAAATATGGTATTAAATGTTAACTATAGGATCTGGGTGGCAGATATATATGGGCATCCTGTACAATATTTTTGATTCTTCTGCATGTTTAAAATTTTTCATAACAAAGTATTGGGAAAAAAATACACTGCTCTAGATGAAAAGTATCTATTCTATTTGTTAACTGTGCTCAACAAATAATCCAGGTTCAGAATTTGTCTCACGGACACGGTGCACTCACCTAGCCACCCGGATCCTGAATTTGGAATGCATAGGTCTGTCTCCGCGCTGGGCAACACAAAGCCGACAACAAACACCTCCACGCCGTCCGCCATCAGGGCCATGCCCAGGACAAAGAAAAGGGCCCACTGGAAACGGCCGTGACCACACTCTTGGATTATCAGCTCATACTGCTGGGCTAGTTCTTCCTCATCGGCTTTCCTCTCTGACTCCAGCTCCTGCCGGTCCTTGTGCACATCCCCCTTGGGCTGCCCCACTGACACAATGCTGTCCTTCCCTTGGTTCATACGGGGGATGCCCTGATACTCCCCTTCATAGATTTCCTCATCTTCATCATGACCCTCAGTAGCTTCACTGGAGCCTTCATCATCATTGGCCTCCCCATTATAGGTCTCTCCCGGCGGGGAACAGTCATCATCCTCTTCATCTTGGAACCGACTGTAGGACCTCTGCGTGTATTCATCCTGGGCCCGGTCCACTGCCTGATTCACCTTCTTTACTGTTTGTTTCTTCACCTCTCGGGCTATGTCCTTGGCGCCCTTCATCAATGAAGTCCTATCCTTGTAAGAATCTTGCATCTTATCTCAACCGATGGCCAACGCGAAGATGGGAATTCTTCAGACTCCAATCAGTGGTTCGGCCCTGACTGCATCATCCACTCTGGGGTCAGAACAGAACTGCAAAAGAAGAAAAACCACACAAAATATTTAGTATTCCTTTCTTGTCTTTTTTACCATTTATTTCTCAATCTCTTTTCACTGCCCCCTCAGACTAAGACACAGAATTAGCTTTTCCTTTCTTTGATCTCACTGTCCACATGCACACCGGATAATGATTCTCTGCTCAGATGTGACTGGCGTTTGGAATACTTACGGGTTTTACTGTTGTTATTATTATTATTTGGTGTTTAAGGGACTCTGTCCTCTGGGAACTTTGATAGAATACACAGGCATTCCCCCAGAGAGTAAAACAGGACATCTGGCACCTCTAAAAGTACATTTAACACATTTGGAAGTGTTATAAAGATATACTCTGATTGAGAAAAATAATATTGCTCAGAGACATACACACACTGCAAAGGCAAAACCAGAATATGAGACGAATCCTATCTGACCTTATTTCCTAATAGTGAAAAAAAAAAATTGCAGGCAAGCAGCCCTATACACGATGCTATTGAATCACACACACACACACACACACATATATATATATTTGTAAAATTTGTTTCCCCTCTACTTTCATTATATCTCCTTCCAATAAATAACAAAGACTCATATGGCACCCAAACCCACAACTGAGTATTTCCCCCCAGCATAACCATCATATCAGTGGGACATGGGCAGAGTTCATCAAATGATTTCAGATACCTTTGATAAACACTGAATTGGAACATACGGTTTGTCTAGTCGGGGTCTGTCCTTTCAGAGGCCGCCCCCAGGCTAGCAGGGACAGGTAAGCCACATGCCATGTCCCTTCACAACCCCACCCTGTAAGTACTCCAAGCTTTGTCTCTACCTTCTTCATCTCTGGACACACACACACACCCCTTGTCCTACTGGCACTCCAACTAACTGCGGTCTTGGGTACCAGAATCATGGGTCTCCCGTGACCCACCATTTGGTTTTCCTTCTCACTGAGATCACCCTATGTCTTGGCTTACATTTGGGCTGAACACATGGTAACTGATCTTTCCCTTGTCCACTGTGCTGTCTCCTCTGGTGGCCCACCATTGTGGACAGATAATGTAAAGGTGAGAGTCACTCTCCTCCATCATTAACTCCCCAAGCTCTACTCTGTGGCAGCATTGCAAACCATGAGTTACATAATAGCCATTTCTACCTTCTTTTTCTACCCAGTATAAAACACTTGATAAGTAGCTATACAAACATATACTTAAACGGTTCATTCAGACATCACAAACAAACCCAGCAATAAAGACAAAAAGATGTTTGTTTCTAAATGGACTGTGCATTTCATGTTACCACTGAATGACTACAAACGCCCAGGAGGCAAACAGAAGCATGGTTCTGCACAGCCCTGTGTTTTGGAAGACAGCAAAATGAAATTAAAATAAACATATGATTACAAGCCTTTTTGCCAAATGTCTTAATAGAGGGTTTTTCTGTATGTCCTCCTTTTTCTTTTTTTTTTTTTTCTTTCTTTCTTTTTTTTTGGAGAGCTGAGAGTCAGGGGCAGGGAGAGATGGGAGGATCCATGAGCTGAGTAAGAAAAGATGAGCAGGCAGTTGGAAAAGAGTTTGAGGATAGAGGCTCAGAGACTCAAATGATATACCTCTGTTTCATGGTGAATCACTTTGAGTTATATGTGCCAGACATCATTTTAATAAAAAACAGTTTGATTTTGTATATACTCTATGCCAGACATTGTGCCAAGAACTCTATATACATTTCTTAATTTTTAAATTTAATCCTTACTTCAATCCTCCAAAATAGGTATTATAGTCTCCATTATACAGGTGGGAAGATTAAGGCTTATTGAGATTAAATAACTGGCCCAGGGTCACAATGTTTGTCAGCGGAGATGCTGGGGCTCCAGCCCAGATGTGTCTGACTCCAAAGACTTGCCCCTTACCCCTCTCTGCTTCACCCAGTGCTCTTGCTAAGGTCTCAGGAAATGCAGTAGCATGCTTCCTGGTCATTCTGATACCTTGGTTTCCTACACAAAAATTGTTTTATAGCCTCTTGCCTAAATAATCTTGTAGGTTCTGAAACAAGGGGAATTACTGTGATATCTTCACTCGTGATAGGTTTTATATAGATAATAATTCCAAAATATGGTCTTGTTTGTTCAGATAAACCATCCCAACATGGTGGCTGTACTTCAAAAGATAATCCTGTAGTCATTCTAAATAAGATGTCCGTGGCCAAGAAGGGCAGGAAAGAAGGCAAAGCAATGAACCTCCAACCGCCTCCAATCAAGTGCAGATGCCCATTCCCTGTAATTCAAGATGGTGTACTTCTCTGTGAAATAAGGATAACGACATAACCACCTGGCAGTGTTGGGAGGATTAATAAGTGGTGTTTACTCTGTGTCCAGGAGAAAATTTGACATATATTTAGTTGATTTTAATTCAGGTTCCCTAGGAACAGAACCCGTGATAAGGAATCAGGGGCAAATCATTTATTAAGAGGAGCTGGTAAAGGAGGGGACAACTGAGGCTGGACAGCAGTTTTAGGCAGGGTCCTGGGGGGTGAGCTTCAGCCTCCGCTCAGAGTTATTCCCACTCAAGGCAAAGGTATGGGGCTTTCACACTACCACTCCCGCCCATTGTTGGCTAAGGGCCATCCGGGGTGAGGATGGACTGTAGGCACTTCCAGCTCTCTGCACCCAAAGCTAGGCAGTTCCCAGGGTCCAGGAACAGTCCTCTGAAGGGATACAGATGCTGGCTGGTGGAAGCAAAGGCCCACTGGAGCCAGGGGAGGAGAGCGGAGACAATGAAGGGGATCCAAGAGTATCTAGGCAGAACATTCACAGGATCTCCTACAATAAGCATTTAATAGCTACTTGTTTAGATGCCCTGCTAATCATACTAAGCAGTAAGACCCAGAGCTGGTTAAAACCTGTATTTACAGAAGTGGCTGTTACAACCAAATAATATATGCAGCACAGTTTATCTGATGTATTTAATGACATGCACAAATCAGCTCTATTTCCATGTGTGTGACAATCATTTTGCACAAATAATAATTTATACACATAAATGAGAGTTATTCTGTCAAAATAGAGTTTCAGTTCTTTTTTTTTCCTTTGATGATTCATGCCACACAGCATATATTCACTCACACCACATACTATATCAAAACCATCCTACACGTGTTCCCGTCATGAACAACCCTCCCCAACACACACACAGATGTTTCTCTGTTTCCCCACACTGTCCCCAAACCTCCAGTCCTTCCTTCTGTTTTACCCCTCATCACCACCATCATCAAAAGATGTGGGAGAGTGCATCCTCACCAAAACCTTCTGGGATCTTCTGGATGCTGGGAAAGTCCATCATTTTAATAACTATTATTATTATTAATAACTATTTATTATTATTATTATTTATATAACTATAATAACTATTTATGCAGCTTTGAAGCCATTGTGCACAGAGTAATGACAGCAAGTATAAGAGCTCACCCACTATTACATCGGCCCTGTGCTAAGCACTTCAGGGGTATTATCACACAACAAGAATCTTAACAATGGTCATATGCTTTTAAAATTTTTAATAAATCAAAAAAATTTTAAATAAATTTCCCATTTTACACGTGGGAAAACTGAAATCTGCCCAGTAAGAATTCACACTTACACAAGCCTACTCCAAAGCCCAGTCACCTACACTGCATCTACCAGCAATTAGTAGAAATGGGAGCCCATGAGGGTAACAGAGATCTGAAACTGCAAAGTTGGGGCAGAGGACAACCCCACCTCCCATGCCTGGATGATAGAAACGCTCAAAAGTACTTGCAGGTCTCTAGCACTTTGGGCTTGGGGGGAGGGGTCATTATCTAACAACCCCCTTTCCCTCCTAAGTTCAGATCCAAAGGAGACATTCAACAGAGGAGATAAATTGCGATCAGTTAGCAGCTGTTGGAGAATCACACCCACACTTTACCCCCGACGCCACACCTTCTTCCCAGCCCTGGGACTCTGCACCACGAAGGACTCCTTCCTGGAGGGAAGGCTGTCCAGGGAACTTTCCATGCTGCAGGAGTAGAAGACCTGGTAAGCATCTCCGTGGGGCTGAGGCCAGCAGGCCAAGGTCTTTCCCCCAGTTTGCCAGGGAAATTGCTCCTTCTTTCTTGGGGAGGAGTCAGGGTATGTGCGTGGGTGGTAAAGGGAGAAGCTGCAAGTGGTTTTTTTCCCCACATTTGTCTCTCCTGGGAAGCAGTGGAAATCCCTGTACCTGGGTGGAAGTCGAGAAGTGGGGAACAATAATGCTTCGCCTTAAGTCAGTGCTATATAATTTGGTCAGGACAGTAACAGAGCACACCAGCCACCCCAATGAGAGCCTTATCACTTTCTATCTCTTATGAGATAGAACATAAAACTAATGACATGTGATGACATTATAGTAATGCCACAAAACAGAGCTTCATTAAAACAAAAAGCCAATGACATGAACATTAAAATTTGCAACAAGTCCAGAAATGTTTTCAGGGACTCTCTAATGCATTAGTCCAAACTAATATACACTTTAATCTATGACTCGTGTCAGAAAGAAAGGCAATACTTAGTATTCACCACCCACACTGCAAGTAGGGCTGATTGTAAACAACTAGATACCTCTTTATTAAGGTTGTTTCATATGTCTAAAGATAATGATTTTTTTAAAAGGCTTACAATTTCATTGAGGTATAATTTACATTGAATAAAATGCTCTGGTGATTATTAAAAGAACAGTGCGACAGGTATGGTGCAGAAAACCAGCTAGATTATGAAGATGCTTATTCTGGCAGAAAACATTGGTTGAAACGCTTATTCAGCACAGGTTTGAAACCTCTGGACCTTCCTAGTAACTGTCAACAAAAAAGAACAGCATATCTGACCTCTGGACTTTGGTGGAGAAAGATGAGACGATGGACATGGCCTTGTAGGAGCTCTAAGTATTATGTAAGAGTATCTACACTTCTACTTCATATAGCCTAACCTTGTGCAATACAGACAC